CCCCCATTCATCTGTGTATGTTGTGTACGGGGCTGAGCACCTTCTTTGTATGGCTCAGACCCCACCATCTCACGATTGTATGTGTGTGGAGTGATGCTATGTGAGTCAGTTCGTTTATCAGACTTCCGCTGCATACATGCTCATCCTATATTGGTTGATCTTTGGTTCTGCCCATACTCATCGAAGTATGTAACAATGTGTGTCTGCCGCACAATAAATAATTACAGGATAATAATAAATTCCACGGCCACACCTGGTTTCAATCTCATACAGCAAAAATAAATAATCGAGGAACAAATTTCATTTTTTTTCTATCTCTAACTTCCGCTGTCTGTCCTGAGTGTGATGACATCCTAACGAGAGTGCACAGGTACCGCAGCCACGGCCAGTGTGATCAAGATACAACAACACATGTGAGTATGCACGGCAACCACAAAACAGCCAAGAGAAGTGAGTAAGTCAGCCAACAAAATCAACAACAATCAATTGTCTGCATCTTTTCCTCTACTGATGTACCATCTGCAGAACCAATGCAGCCAGACAAAAGGGCCGACGCGTGGCACTACAACAAATCATGAAATTGTACCGCCCGCCAGCACACAAGTGCAAGTATCAACACCTCACCCACGACAGCGTGCAAAGCATGCCACGTGTCACCCCTGGAATGCTAACCCAGCACATGTGTCACGACAACATCAAGAGCCAGCATGACCTTCAGGAGGGATGCCACGTCAGACCGAAGCAATGCCCTGAGGTGTGGAGCGCCAAGTCAGCAGGTAGTCGCGACACAGGTATGTGCCACGTCAGACAATGCCCTGCCAATAGTAGGATGCCATGTCAGCACCCTTGCGCCATGCCACATAGGCAGCGCGCCAGTTCAGCAGTCCCAATATCCACTCTCTCTCGCTCTTTTTCATCTACCAGCGCCACGCCAGCTTGTTGCCAACGATACTCTCGCCGGTATCTCAATGCCACATAAGCAACAAAGCGCCACATAAGCAATGTCATCGTCTTCTTCTTCAAAGTGTCCACGTCATCATCTTCAAGGGGGCTGCACGCACGAGTGGTACTCAATGTCTAGACTTGTGATGTTACTCGCGCGCATTTATAAATGAAACAGTTTTCACCTTTGGCAGTAGCCGATGCAGATCCCTGGGGTCGATCCCTTGACCTCAGCTTACCTGTGTACAGTATCTGCACAGTTTCCTGGAGTTGAACCCGTGGCCTGCACGATAGCCAGTGGTAAGTAGGTCACCGTAGGTTGTAGGCTGTAGGGAGATTCGAACTGTAGACCTGTAAGGTAGGAGTCCAAGTAGAGTCCAGAGGCCTAGCTTTAGTCCTTCTAGAAGGTCGGCAAGTGGTCAAGTGGTGAGTCTAAGGTAGGCCCACGTTTTCAGACGAAGACAAGTGGCAAGGTCAACAGGTA